AGCTACCCCTTAAATTCCTATATCCCAAATCCATGGGATAGATTGGGTAGCTTAATTTGAAATGTGAAAGCAGGTTGGAAATCATTGCTGTGCAAATTGGGTGGAGGGTGGGCTTTTTTTCTCTTCCATGGCTCAACTGGGCTTAAATGAATGAATAAAATCTGCTCTGGTAGTTCCCAGTGAGGAATATATTCCTTTGGAAAAGGGGGGGAAAAATCCCTCCCAACATTTCATTCATCCCAGAGTGAAGCATTTTGATTGGGGGAACTCAGCAAATTTTTTCCTCCTGAAAATAGGTCAACTTTGAGATATAAAACGTCACATTGGAACTGAAAGTTGAATAGAAATGTTTAGAAAACATGGGATTATATATCCATATATTTGGAAGTTTAACGAGATTGTGGATGGAAAGAAAGCACCCAGGCTATTTATAATTCAATTAGGCTTAGATTTAGGAGTAGTTCTGGCTCTCTGGAAACTGCATCTCTTTTTCATTTGGAATGATCTCCTTCCTCCATCACAGCCCCTTTTCCCAGCGATGCCTGGGAATATATGGCTGCAGCTGGGAATATATGGCTCTAATAGAGCTGCAGTGACTGGAGCTGTACTGTGCCAGCTAACTGCTGTATTTTTCTTTCCTGAGGCTCTCTGGGTGTGTTCACAAGGGAATATTGACATTTGGGACCAAGGGATGGAAAACTAGGTGAGCTGCTGGAGCTGTGATCAAGGATATTTATTCCAGCAACTTTCCCCTGCAGGACTTCTCAAGGTTGTGCCTCTTTTTCTCCATTCCCCTATAAATATCCCAGACCACATTTTCCATTAATTACTGAAGTAAATCTAACAAAATGCTCTCCTTCCTGGGCTTTTTTTGGTACCTTTCAGTTCTCCTTCACCTCTCTCTTTGCACTACTGTAAAGTAGTGAGCGAGTTCCTACTCTCACTCTGGGGCTTGGTTTTCAAACTGTTTATTGAGTAATAAAAAGAGACAATTACAAGTCATTGCCCAGGGATAATGTGCTGATAATTTTATGACTGGACAAACGGTTGGAACAGCCCACAAATGGTGGTGAGCAGGAAATCTGGGATCTGCTGCCGACAGAGCCACCCCCGAGGAGATGAAGCCTCACTGCTGACAGTCAAAGCTGCTGCAACAACTGTGAGCCAGTAAAATTGCTGTGGTGGGATGGGCATTGTTTCCTTCCGAGGAAAAGTGGTAAAGAACTTCTGGAAGGTGGTTGGAAGTTCATCCTGCTGGGAGTGAGTGTGAGGGACCACCAGCAGTGCTCATGTTCAGGTCCACAGGGCCAACAGCTGGGGCCTGGGGATGCCAGGGAAAACAAAGATTAAAGGGTGTTAATGCTTTCAAGCAAACAGGGATCATCCCAGAGATAACAAAGGGATTAGGTTTCTCCAGGCACTTGAGCAGTGACCCAGCTTTGAAGCTGCTGCTGCAGGGTGACCCTTGGCTTGCTCCCACCTGTAGGATGACGCTCCCCATCCCTGTCACCCCCAAACCCTGGGGATTTCATGATTTCTGCTTTTAAGTCTGTATCTGTAACTGGTTTAATTCCCGCTCAGTGAATTTTCCAGTTCCTCTGTGATTCTGTGAGTACAACAGGAAATTATTTCAGATTTAAAGCGTGTCCCTGACCACTGAACATGAAAAACTGCTGCCATGGAAATGCTTCCAATTGTCACAAATTCAGGAGTCAACTGCTCACTTGTCTGAAACCATTTCAAGGTGGTGCTCCCACTGGCCCCCTCCAGGACAAATTCCTGCTCCTTCTTAGGAGCCAAACATCATCCCTGCACTATATTTTCTCTGCTGAAGTGGAGCTCAGTGGATTAACTGGGGAGGGCCCTGGAGAGGTCTCACTCTGCCCATCTCTCATGGGAAGGGATGAGCTGCACCTCTCCCAACCCGCAGCAGATCCAGGGTGGGCAGGAAGCCATGGAACTGGGAGTAGCTGTTTGCAGCTGCCAGGACCTCCCATTTGTGTGGTAGTGATGCAGATAGAATCTCATAAACCGGTTTCCACCCTGCTTTACTGCAGATTTAATGATCAGAGGAAGAACTTGACTGTTTATTAAAACATTAGACAGTAAAGTTTAACAGCGGACAATAAAGGGTTTTGTTTTTCCATCCTTCTGATTGTTAAAGCAACACCATGTTGGGCTGGAGAGGAAGCTGCTCCCAATGCCTGGATCCAGAAGGACAGAGTGGGCTGTGGTGTGACTGGGCAGGAGGAAGAAGTTGGCACTGCCACTTCCATGCTTGGCAAATCCAATATTTGAGGAAGGGCAGGGCCTCATCCCTAAGGGCAGTGTCCCGAGGCTGGCTGGACAGTGACAGGGGCTGGAGCAGCACAGCTGCCCCCGAAGCCCTGCCATTGTCAATCACAGGATTCACTCTGGATCTTGCCAGAGGTGCTGCTTCCTCACCCACTCCCCTCCCTCCCTGCCCGAGGCATCCCTGCCCTGGTGGGAGCCAAGGTCCCAGCTGCTGCCTGGGAATAGAGAATGGACAATCCCTGCCAGCTCTTCTGTCCCTGCAGCTGGGTGTGAAAACACCTTCAGGCATCCATGGGTGTCACTGACACCTTGTTGTGAACTGTGGAAGTGGCTCCTTAGGGTTGGGAGGGAGGGGTTTGCAATTTCTGTGGAGTTTTCTCCTGGTGTCACCTTTCCAGGCTGGTTCCTGTGCTGAGCTGACTGGCCTGGCTTCTCCTGGGGGCAGAGGAGAAAACCGGGACTTCCTAGGATTGCTCATCCTGCCTAAGGAATGTTCAGTCAGTCTCCAGAGGGCCTGGCACCTCTGCACATGCTCCAGTGGGGCTCCAGGTGAATTTTCTTGGAAATAGACAGGAAAATCTTGCCTCAGACCCTAAAACATTCAGTGTGTCTTTCAGCATCCAGCTCCTTTGGCTCCCTGCAAGAGAGCCCTGCAAGCTGAGCAGCCCTGCTGAGGGCTGGTGGGATTCCTGCACCTCATGGAGAACTTGGAGTCCTGGACCAAAGCAAGGTGCCTTCCAGCTGCAGTCTCAGTGCTGGCAGGGGTTCCCATCCAGTGGAAGTCTGTGGATCACAGTGGAGGGTCAGGGATGTAGGAGAAGCTCCTCCCTCCCCCTTGTGCTGTGGTGGGGTGTGAAATCCAAGTCTTGCTTCCCTAGGGAGCTTTAGCCAATGGACCAGACCCCAAGGCAAGGCAAGACTTTGTGTCTTTGCTGGGCTTGGAGGGGAAAGAGGGGTGGGAAACAGCTGAGAACACGTCAAGGTGAGAAGGAGAGGGTTGATTGCTCATGGTCCTGGCATGAACCAGGATTTGTACAAGCTTGGAATGCTTTGGGCACTGAACTCTTCTCTGTGCCCTCCAAAAAGTCTTTCAGAGTTGCCAGGAGTGAAGGTGAAGCTGTGAACCAAGAGCATTCTTCAGTGGAGTCTGAGAAGCAACCATCCCTTTGCCCACGAGGCAGGAATTACAGGTAAAGCCCTCCAGGGATGGGTGGCAGGGCTTCTGCTGCCTTGTGCTTAAAAAATGTTGGGAAGGGGAGCAGGCAGGAAAGTAAAATTTGCCATGACATGGCATGCTCAGGACAGGGCCAGCAAAAGGTGACTGCAAAGAAGTTTTGCAACATAACGAGATGATGTGGAGCCTGAGCTGGAGGGGACCCACAGGGATCATTGAGTCTGATTATTGGTTGGCAACTGCACATGGGGAAAAGCAACAGGAGCTGCACCTGTGTGGTCCCAAGGAGCTGTCAGCCCTCTGGGAAGAGACTGGAGAGGCACCACAGGACAGGGGGGAAATGGAGCAGCAAACAGAGCCTGTCACCACCCACTGGATCCATCCTGAAGCACCCCTGGGTGCTGGGACAGGGTCCTGGTGATTCCTTCTCAAGGCTGACCTAGTACAGAGACTGGACAGAGCTAAAGAATAAAGTAGGGATTTATTAAAAGGCCTCAGTGGATACATCTTGGGCAGCACAAGAGCCCAGCCAAGGCTACACCCAAGATGAACCAAAATGGTCACAAAATGCACAACAGGTCATGGCGTCTCTCACTTTTATAAATTCTGATCCATTTCCATATTGTAGTTAATTGTCCAATTATAGTTTTGGGTTATGAAGTCCAGTCCTTCTTGTTTTTCTCTCTTCAGTCCTTGCTGTTTATGCTCTTGGGTCTGAAATTTGGGTGGTTGTCCTTGGTTCTGAGCTAGGAAAGGAATTGTTTTGTCTACCCACTGTGTGAAAAGAGCTCACCATCCCTTAATATGACGCTCAGAGCTATACACTAAAGAGGGACAGAATCTGAAAAATACAAAAGCTAAAGCCTAATGCATCACTGGTGTCCCTGTCTCAGACACCAGGAACGGTGTGAGAGGAAAACACAGCTGGGAGGACCTCAGGGGACAGGAGACCTTGATCTGAGAGACTGAAGAAACAAAAAATAGGAAGAAAGTGGCTTGGAGGAGGCAGATATGGAGCTGGATGGGTCCCTGCCAGGGCTGATGTGGATAGAGACCCCAGACTTGGCTCCTACATTTGACACTTTGGACCTGTGGCAGCACCCAAAATGTAGAGCAATGAGGGGACATCAGGGCACTTCTGACCAGAGCCAGTGTAGGACAGCAAGGCCCACGCTGCTCCCTGCCCTTGTCCTGGCCATTCCCAGCTATGCCCTCCTGCTCAGGGGTAGCAGGAATGTGACACTGGACATCACACTGTCACCTGGGCTGCTCCAGAACACCAACTTCAGCCCTAGGAGACTTAAATGGACTCAGCCCTGGATTAAATTCTGACCCAAGTGAAAACAGCTGAGCATTTTCTGGTTGAGTCCAGCAGGCTGGAATTTAATTCCCAGGTTTAAAGCCTCTTTAAAATCAGCTGTGATATACAACCAGTCTTCTCAGTCTCTAAATACCTCAACAAGATTGGCAGTGCTCCAGCAGGGCCATGGGCAGGATTATCTGCAAATCCATAGGTCAGGAGAGAAACTGGGGAGCCTGGCTGGGGCAGAGCGGAGCTGCAGAGCTGGAATTGCCTCTGCTTGTGGCTGTGGCATGCAGGAAAAACTGGGAAGCAGGAGAAATCCTTCTCAGAATTGCTGTTGTGATATTCCTGTTTGTGCTCACCCTTTCGGAGGATGTTTTGCACATATATTTATGTACATACACACACACCTCCCCATGGGTACACACACCACAGTGCATCTTCTCAGCCTGCAACATTCCATAAACTGCAAAAAACAACCCAGAAAAAGATTAAAATTAAGTCCCTTATCATTGCTAAATAATCAGAAACTAATATTAGAGCTGCTGGACGATTTTCCCCCTGAACTATCCCCACTCCACGATCCTAATGTGATGATTCTTCCTGTAGCTCTTTACATTCTATTATTTATAAGAAACAATGTTCAGCCCTCCCCTGACAGCATTTGCAGGGCTGCGGAAAGCAGTGCGGCAGAAAGGTGGGAGAACAATTTTGGTGATGTTTCCATAGCTACCTAGCTGCTAAATGTGGTTTATTCCATTTTAAAGTCACCCAACACACACACACACACACACACACACACACACACACACACACACACACACAGAGACACGCACACAGCCCTCCCCTCGCACACGCAGGCACTGGGAATGCAGCTCCTAATCCCTGCTCTGCCTATTCCAGCCTAATCTGCCTGGGATTTGTATATTTAAAGGGCTACTTGCTGCCCAGATAAATGGCTGGATACAGCAGGAGGATAAACATATTGTTTCTCGCTCGCTCTCCTTCCCGACGTGTGTGTTCCAGTCGCTCCCTGTAATATTATTACGGATATTTTTCCCCAGCCGCGGTGCGCCAGGGAAGTCGGAGGTAGGAGGGTGTCCTCTCGTGGTCTGTGGCATCTCTGCAGGCTCAGAGCTGGGAAAAAAAAAAAATAAATAAAAGGAAGGGGGAAAGGGGTACCTTGGCAGCGGGTGGGCATTTTAAAGGAAAACGTCTTTGGCTGGAGTTTCCGAATTCGAGGATTGTGTTCAGAAACACCTGGACACCTCCCTGATGCCGTGAGAGAAATCCCCCCTGGGCTTGCTGCGCACATCCTTAAGGGAGCAGCTGGGAAAACACGCAGTTTTCCAAGCCCATCCCTGGAAAAGGGAGGAAAATGAGGCAGGGGGAAGGGGACGGCCGGCCGCAGCTCTGCCGAGCAGAGAAGCCGCAGGGAGCCGTGTCCGAGCCGGCGGCGCGGATCCTGCCAGCCCTGGCCCCAGAGGAGAGCTGGTCTCGGCATCTGTCCCCTGGAGAGGCTCGCAGGGCTCATCCTGCTGCCTCCGCGGGGCTGAGCCCTCTCCCACCCGCTGAGCACCTCCCAGGCCCTTCCAGGTCTGGCATTCCCAGTGCTGCTCCCCTGGCTCTCTGCAAAATGCGACAGGGAAAAGCTGGGAGCAGGACAAAGAAATAGATGTAGGGACAACAGGCGGAGAGTCCCTCAGAAAATAGGAGAAGATGTGCCCAGCAGGAATTCCTGACTCAAGGTTTATCTGGATGTAAAATAGATGTAAATGAGGGGAATGTTCTTTACTCAGAGGGGTTCAGCACTGGGAGAGGCTGCCCAGAGAAGCTGTGGCTGCCCCACCCCTGGAATTGTCCAAGGCCAGTTTGGATGGGGCTTGGAGCAACCAGGTGGAAGGTGTCCCTGCCCGTGGCAGGGGGTGGAACTGGATGAGCTTGTAAGATCCCTTCCAGCCCAAACAATTTAATGATGCTGGGAATATAAATGAGGAGGATAAGTAACATGCAGATATCTGAGGAGAGCAGCCTGCTGTCCATCCATCCTGCCTGTTCTTCCAGCCCCTGTTCCCTCCCGTGCTGTGTCACACCACGACTCCTGCAAATCCCCTGTGACACAGCCACAGTGGTGATTTTTGTCCACAGCACACACTGTGGAGGAGCAGCCACAGTTTTTCCTGGAAATGGCACAGGATTCATCCCTCCGCTGCATCCCAAGGACCCCTACAAGCCCCTCCCAGGGATGTTCTGCTGTAAATGTGTCCCACAGAAAAATCTCCCTTGAAGTGGAGGACTTCTGTCACGATGTTTTTTTCTTCTTCTGCCTGGCAGAAAAAGGAGAGTGAAAAGCACTGATGAAATCGTGTTTTATTCGTGTTTGTCACCAGGTACAAAGCAAATAAATCATCATTGGAAAGCAAAGGCACCTCTGACCATGCCTCACCTGCTTGTCTGTCCTTTTGTTTTGCAGGTTCCCTCTGCTCCACCAAGTTGCCTGGGGTCTGCCAGGATGCCAGTCACAGTCAGGCACAGATCCATCCTCTGGAGTGCCCCAGCTGAACAGGAGGAGCAGTGGGGAGGCAGCAGATTCCTTTGGGATCGCTGGGATTTGGCTCAGCCCCGCGTGGCGGTGCCAGCCCAGCTGCACAGAGGCTGCATCTGCAGGGATCTCACATCTGGAATAACCTGGCTCAGGAATCAGGCAGGTTTAATTGTCCTGGCTCCCTTCCTTCCCAGGCACAGCCCTGACTCTTCCTGGCTTTGTGGGGAAGATGCTCCCACCTTTCTTTGGGAGCCCCTTCCACGGAGACCAGCACAAATCCAGCCCATTTTGCCACGGATCTCTTTTCTTCCCAAGCTTGCTCCAGCTGTGAGCAGCTGCAGTGCTGGCTCTCATCCCTCCAGCTGCCCTCCCCAAAGTCACATCCCTTCACAGATCCCATTTCCCACCTGATTGCTGTATTTATCACACCTTTTGCTGCCAGGAGGGAGCAGAACCACCGGGGCTGGGCCAGGCTGGGGAGCTGGACAGGTCCCATCTCAGAAATCCTCTGTGCCCTCATGGGTACCAGGAAAGGGATTGGGATTCTGCCCCTCTGCCCTGCTCAGGTGAGAGCCCACCTGCAGAGCTGCCCCAGCCCTGTCCCAGCACAGGGAGGAGCTGGAGCTGCTGGAGAGAGCCCAGAGGAGGCACCAGGGTGAGCAGAGGGATGGAGCAGCTCTGCTGGGGGAAAGGCTGGGAGAGCTGGGATGGTTCACCTGGAGAAGCTTTGGGGTGATCTAATCGTGGCCCTTCAGTCCTTGAAAGTTCTGACAAGGATGGAGAGAGACTATTTCTAAAGGTCTGGAGTGCCAGCACAAGGGGGAATGGCTTCCCATTGACACAGAGTAGGTTTAGACTGGATATGGGAAAGAAACTCCTGGCTATGAGGGAGGTGAGGCCCTGGCACAGGGAAGCTGTGGCAGCTCCATCCCTGGAAGTGTCCAAGGTCAGGTTGGATGGTGCTTGGAGAAGCCTGGGATAGTGGAAGGTGTCCCTGCCCGTGGCAGGGGGTGGCATGGGATGAGTATTAAGGTCCTTCCCAACCCAAATCATTCCATGATTCTCTGGAAATGAATTGAACTCTTGCCAAGGAAAGCCTCAGCAGCCCCTGACTGGGTTATTTTCCTGCACAAGTTGAGATACAACAGTGGGCCAAGAGATGCCATCATGATGTCCAGTTTGTGACCAAGGCATGGACACACACGTTGGTGACTTGCCTTGGAATTTCAGGATATTTCTCTTTATTGCTTTCTGTCAGACCAGGAGGGGCTGGCAATCAGTGGATTCCCTGTGGCCACAGAGCTCTCCCGGGCCATCATTAGGGGTGATTATCAGCAATCACCATGTCACTGTTCCCAGGGCAGGCTTTGCTGCCTCCTTTCCTCTCCAGCCCCCAACAAGCAGGTGCTGGAGGTCTGGGGATTTCTGTGGCTCTGTGGTGACAAGGAATATCTGGAAGTCTCCAGCATCAACCAGGGATTGCACTGCAGGCCCCTCTCTAGTCAAAACCAGCAGCACAGAAACATTTCCTGCTGCCTTTCATGCCTCTGCCAGCACTGGCAGCAGGCAGGAGACTTGTGGGACCTGGCAGGGCCCTGCTTTGGCTTTCCTGTGGTGGGAAAGGGACAGGTCTCCATCCCTGTGCCCTGGGAAATATGAAAAGCTGTGCCTCCATTCAGCAAAGTCACAGCTGCCTGAAACATTCCTCCAGCCCTGCTCTCTGGATTAAGGAAGGCTGAAAGCTTTTTTTTTCCTTCTTCTTTTTTTTTTTTTTTTTTTTTTTTTTTTTTTTTTTTTTTTTTTTTTTTTTTTTCTAATCAGTTCAATGTTTTACAGCTCAAATTCAAATAGGAGCTTAAGAGCTTAAACAATGAAACATAAGGATGTGCTGGCAGGGCTGGGCTGTCTGCTCTCTCCTGTTTGCAGCTCTGCTTGGCATCAGCCTGGGCAGAAAAACACCTGCATCTGGCTACCACAAGTTGAGCAGCCTTTCCAGGCATTTCACTGCCTTGTGGAAGGTAGAACACGTGGGAATTCAAGTGGGAATTACTTCAGGAAAGCTGGTGAGGGACTTCTTACAAGGGCCTGGAGTGGCAGGAAAAGGGGAATGTCTTTGCACTGCCAGAGGAAAGGGTTATGTGGGATATTGGGAAGAAATCCTTCCCTGTGAGGGTGGGCAGGCCTGGCACAGGGTGCCCAGAGAAGCTGTGGCTGTCCCTGGATCCCCAGAAGTGTCCAAGGCTGGACAGAGCAGCCTGGGATAGTGGGAGGTGTCCCTGCCCATGGCAGGGGCTGGAACTGGATGGGCTTTAAGGTCCCTTACAATTTAGGACATTCTGTGATGATTCTGTGATTCCAGTGATCCAATCTGTCCAGCAGCCCTTTCCATGCCTTCTCCCTCTGCCCTGCTGCCATCTGTGTCTTTGGTGGAGTCACCAAGGCACTTTGGGCAGTTGCTCCTGTAGGGCACGTTCAGAGCTGGGGGGGACAATGGGCAGGGTGAAGTGTGTGTGCACGAGGAGCCACCCAGGCACTGCCATCCCCAGCCTGGCTCCAGCTGGATGGACCTGCCTGAAAATAACTGCAGGCTTGCCCAGGAGTTTTGTTGCTGTTCAGTGCTGGTGATCAGGGCTGTCTGCTCTTTCACTTGGATGCTCCTGAATCCCAGTAAAGCCTTGCCATCTATTGCCTCTGGCTTGCTTCCTCTTAGCCAGTCTCCTCCACCCTTGACCACCTCTCCCTCTCCCTCTCCCTCTCTCTCCCTCCATGCCCAGCTTCCCCTCCTTCCACTCCTCAGAGTTACTGTGGGAAGCATCAGGTGGTGCAAGAAGCCAAAGGAAGGCCAACAGACAGCTCAGGAAAAAGGAAAGGAGCTTTTCCTGCCCCCCACAACCTATGGAAACACAACTGCCCTGGCAGGGCAGAGAACTGACCATGTCTGAACTCTGGATGGAAATACAAGCAGAAGAAAGGATGCTGCTCCACTGGAAGGAGGGAGACTCCTCCCAGGCTCCCAGAGCAGATCCCCAGCTGGTGTAAATAAAGAAGCACCAGACTGGTTTACACAAGCTGCAGCTGCTGAGAAATGCTTTTCCCAACCCTTTTTCCTGATGGGATTGGTTTTCTTTTCCTATCTTCCTCCAACTCTGAATGCCATCACTAAAATCCACATGTTCTGCCCCACCTTGCAGCCCATTTGGGGAGCAGCAGGGGAGAAAAATCAGAGCTGGAGTCCATTCAGAGCCAGAAACACCGTGCTGCCCTTCCCAGGGATAAAGCTGACCTGTTCTTGCCAGCACCCCCAGTCCCCTGCTCCAGAGCACTCACCAGCATCCCTCAAAGGCTGGTGGACCAGCAGCTGATGGATGTGCAGATGGAGCTGGAAGGAGCCTGTTACCCTAAGGGCTGGCTACAGTGACATGGGGACAGGGCACAGACCTGGGCTGGAACCAGCACCCCAAATCTCTCTCTTAGGTAAGCTGCTGTTTAAAGCTGTCTCCCTCAAAGTCAGCCATCTGTGCTGTTTTCTCTGGGAGCAATAAACACTTAAGGGTCACCTGCTTTCTTTAATCTCCTCTGACTTGCATTCATCTGAGATGCACATCATATTAATTATGTTCCTTTTATTCCTGCCCATGCCAGCACAGAGGGATCATTACTGCTGCTGCTTCCTCTTTTTATTGTCTGGATGCTCGCAGTCATGAGCTCTGGAATCCAGGACCACGAGAGGACACTTTGCTGATCACCTGCCTTCATTAAGAAAACTTAATTTTAGTGCTGATGGGAAATTGGATTAAAGAAAATAAACCACCCAAAAACAGCCATAAGGTTTCTTGTTGGATTAAATATTAAAATTAATAATCCAGTGCTCCATTCAGCTCTGTATTTATGTTAATATTTAATTCAATAACAGCCCGTGGTTTAGAACATTTTCCCATTTGTTTAAAGCACCAGATGAAATTGCAATTTCTGCCTAAATTGGAGCAATATGGAGCTAACTGGGTTATGCTAATGAGGAGGAATGGCAGCTCCCAAAATCCTCTACCTAGTGGGGGCAGGGGGGTTTAGCAGGGGGAAGGGGAGTGGATGGAGAGAGACAGCAGGGAATGCAAACCCCGCTGGCTGCAGGGAAGCTGAGCAGGAAAAGAGGCTGCAGGGCCAGGGTGCAGATCCCAGAGGCTGGGAGGGCTCCACGTGCAGGAACCACTCAGGTTCCAAGCGGGTGCTGCCCCTGTTGAGGTACCTCTGCAGCATCAGGGGGCTTGAGGATATTTGCCCCTGGATAAACCACTGGGAATGCCAGTGAAGATCCACATCCTGAGCCGGGGGGTGTTCTGGATGGCAGGGACACATCTGGAGGCCTTGCAGGTGGATCTCTGCTCCTGTTTGGGATGTTTTCCCCCATAAACACTGCTAGCAGAAAAGCTGCCACACAAAGTCTGGGACTGGGATGTGATCCAGGATCAGGTGATGGTCAGAAATGGGCTTAGGTTGCACCAGGGTGATATTAGGGAAATTTCTTCAGTGAAAGGGCTGCCCAGCTCTGGCACAGCTGCCCAGCTCCCACTGTCCCTGGAGAGATTTAAAAGCTGTGTGGATGTGGCATTTGGGTACATGGGTCAGTGGCGGGGAACAGTTGGATTTGATGACCTGAGAGGGCTTTTTGATCCAAAATTATTTCATGATTCTGTGAGGATGTGGGGTCTGGTGTGAGGCTGGTCTCAGGCTGAGTTTTCCACTGATGGCTTTGAGATGACATGGAATACCAAGCGGGATGCACCAAATACCAGGCTCCCTTTTTCCAGTGCTTTTTTCCTGGCTGGAGTAGAGCTCAACTGCTGGTGCAGTCCTGAGTTTCAACCTCAGCATCCCATGAGGAGAACTGAGCCCACGGGGAGAATCCATCACTCAGGAGATTGAACGATTCTGTGCAGAATAGAATCTGGGAAGGACTTTAAAAGCCACTCTCTGTTTTCCAAGGGATGGGAAATGGACATTTCCCAAGGGTGGACAGAGCCCCTCGCCCAGGCTGATGCTGGGGTTTCACCCACTGGGAGATGTTTGATATGACAAAAGCTCTTTTCTTCCCCAGGAGAGCTCTAATCTTGCAAACCAGAATAATTATGGAGTGACATGGAGGAAGAATGTGGAACACGGAGCAATGATCAGTAAAACTTAAAAGCTTTGGAGGTGGAGTTCCCAGTGAGTTTCCTAAAGTTTGGATACATACCCAAACTTCCTTGAACCTTTTGGGGCCTAATTAAATTAGAGGGGACTTATAAAAAAAACATGCACAGAAGAGAAAACTTTTTTGCTATGAAAAAACTGCTTAATAAAACAGATTATGTGCAAAATAGAAATCTGGGCCTTGTGAAAGAAGAGTAAAACGACACTAATGAGCAGAGTCTGAGTGTTAATGAATGGGATTAGCATTCCATTACCTGCAACTCTTATAAATAGACCCACCAATTTTAGATTCCCTGTTCTTCAAACAACCTGTTGTGCTTTCTGGAGGTGTTTTCATGTAGTTAATTCCATTTTGTACAAGGAGAAGCTGAAGCAGAAGCCAATCACTTGAACCACCCCTCAGGTCTGTGGTTGGGGTGGAGATGAGAACATTGAGGTTTTATTTTATAGGGTTTGATTTGGACTTTGGGCAGTCAGAACACAGCAGGCACCATCCTGAGCTGTGTGTGTGGAGCAGCTCTTCCTTCCTCCTGGAGACAGCGTTGAGGCAGCTCCTGCAGGTACTCCCCTACTGCATCCTGAGTGTTTTAGTTTTCTCTCTGGGCCTTGTGTGGACTTTGGCACTTGGGAAATACCCCAGGATGGGGATGGCCCTCATTCCCAGCTGGACTTTGCCATGTCTGAACACGTCCCTTCCGTGCAGCTGTTGGATGTGACAGCAAATGGTCCCAGCAGCCTCGGCTGGGGAACCAGAGCTCTGTTTCCCAAGCTCTGTTTTAAAGGACAGTGAACCATCCCCATCTTCCATCCCCACATCATCCTCAGCCTGTCCACTGAAAGGCAGGAATGGTTTCATTCTTGTTTCCTTGCCCTTTTGAGCTCTTCTGGGAGTGCTGCCATCCATGATGGAGAAGGATCCCAGTTAGAGCTGGCTAGGAGTGGGAAGGATGGGCTGGTTTAATGGGAATATCAGGAAATAAGTGTGCATGGATATCCTTGTCACCTCCAAGGGCTGGAGAAGGAGATCACTGCCCTTCATTTTGGCTCTGCAGAGACTGATTTTGGAGAGAAAGGTGTAAAAGAGAACAAACCTGCTTAGGGAGAGCTTGGAGGCTCTGCTGGTTCACACAGGATCACTCCTTCTTTCCTTCTTATTTGCAGCCAGACTCCTGTGCAGTGATGGACCTGTTCAAGAACATCCTGGAGAAGGAAGCTGGGATGAGGCACTCTTCATGATTGGAAGGATGTCAAGAAGGAAGAACTGATGTGTTCAAACATGGGCTGGGATTCCTCTCACCTCACCAATCACGGCAAAATGAGGTGCATGCTCAGGTTTTTACTCTCTCTCTGCTCCATGCAGAAGCATGTTCCTTCCAGAAGGCCATTTTTCCTGTCCCAAAGGGTGTCCAAGACAGATGGGATCAGGAGTCCTCGAGAGATTTTGCCATCCTGGTGACAACAGAGAAAGCACAGGCAACTTTGAGACTAAATACCTGACTTTTAGTTGAAGCTGTTAACAGAGACAAGCCCTCTTCCCTCCTGGAAAAAGCACAAATAACTGTAATTTCCCAAAATTTCTGACAGTGAGCCTTCATTTTTTCAACAGCCCTGGCTGGCAGGAAGAGCTGCTGCTCTGGGAGGAGATGGGTGGTGCTTGTAAAGCAGAGTGAGGAAACAGCAGGGCACTGCTGCTGTCTGCCTGACAGCAGGGTTGCATCTTGATGGGCCTCCTTGGCTCCAGGGTCAAGGTCCAGACCTCTGGAATTGCTCTGTCCTGCATTGCAGACCAGGCTGAGGAAGGAGCTGTCCTTACATTTTCCATGGAACAACATCAGTCTTATCAAAAACCACCAGAATTTTGTCTGCTACACTCTCAAATAATGTAGGCAAACAGATTCATGAGCCTGGTATGGGTGGGCTGAAAACATGGAGGGCAGATTCTCCTGGAACAGAATAGGGAAGTCTTTCCCTGTCCATCTGCCTGATCCATGACTGCAGCTTTGCACAACTACCTGTCCTATTTTTTGCCTTCTTTTTATTCAGAGGAGAGTGCAAACATGTTGTACATCAGCTCTCGAGGCCCCTGGATTAACAGCAGCTTGCAGAGCCTGGAGCTGGGCTGGATGTGGAAGCAGCCACAGGTTTGGGCTGGCCCCAGGCTCTGCTCCCACCACACTGGGATGAAAGCAGCTCTTACTGGGAGGCGTCTCTTCTCCAGGTTGGGGATCTCAGCAAGTTTTTGCTGAGGCTCTCAGTTGACTGTCTTGCTAATTTTCCCTTCTATTTGGGAACAGATGAGCAGGGGAAAGGCACAGATGACAATATTTTGCCATCTTTTACTGCTGGAAGCGAGGATGAACAGCTTTGTTTGAGCAGCCATGTCTCTGCAGGCTCCTGGCAGGTTGTCCATGGACCACGGTCCGTGATGGTGGTCCTGGGGACTGGGAGAACTCTGACTCTACAGGGGAGGGAAAGCTCTTCCTTCCCTTGCCTTCCAACATGGATTTGGAAAGTCTCCTCTGTAAAGGAACAAGGGACCCCTTGGGAGGACATGGGGGAGTGTCTGAAAGAGGGCAGGATGAGGTGGGATACTGGGAAGGATGTGTTCCCTGAGAGGGTGAGGAGGCCCTGGCACAAGGTGCCCAGAGGAGCTGTGGCTGCCCCTGGATCCCTGGAAGTGTCTAAGGCCAGGTTAGACACGGGTTGGAGCAGCCTGGGATAGTGGAAGGTGTCCCTGCCCATGGCAAGGGCTGGAACTGGGTGGGCTTTAAGGTCCCAGGCAAGCCAAACCATTCCATGATTCCATGATTCTAATGCAAGCCCTCATCCTGCTCCCAGGAATTGCCCTCAGGACAGCCTGCTAAGCTGAGGTCCCTCTAAAGAGATGCAAGGCAGGAATTTGGGGCTCAGTAGCTCTCCCAGCTCATCTTGTCTCATTTGTAAATGTGTTTGAATTCAGACTGCCAGGCTGCCAGTCAGATCTGTCACCTTTGGACACCTCTTTTTGTGCCAGCAGGGAGAGGCCACTGTCCTTGGGTAAATACCAGGCTGGGCAGCTCTGCTGACACGGCATGGGGACCTGATCCATATCCTGAGCCCTAAAACCCCCCACAGAGGCTCAAACCCCCATTTTGATTCAGAGCAAGCAGCATCTCCCCTCCCTAAAGGGAGCTGCAGCACAACTGCAAATGCCCAACCCACCAGGATTTCACTGCGTGTTCAGCAGACTTGCAGAGGGCTTTTTTTTTATTCCCACCCTAGGGGTTTAAGCGGCACAGCAAGTCCAGTAATGAACTGTTACTCTGGAAAATAAGACTTTCATTAGGTTAGGATTCTGCCGGGGTGTCTGCGTTCCTCGATAATGAACCGTGATATTGTGCACAGCCCTGGCGTGGAGCAGAGCTGAGCTTATCTCCTGCTATCATTTCCCCACTTATCACCAGCACATGCCCGCTGCTGTCACAGGGGCACTGGGACCAGGTTCCTTCTCCCTGAGGTGCTTTCTTGGGGTCAAACAGTGGTTTTCAGTGTTGAGCCCAGCCCTGCCTTCTCATCACTGCTGGCCTACAAACAGATACTGATGTTTCCTCTGGTTTTTTTAGGTGTTCATTATTCATCACTCACAGGTCCTGCAATTGCAGTGCATGTCTCCTCTGGTGTGAAAACATTAATAACTGCTTTGGCTAAGCACACAGAGATCATTTATTTCACAAATACACAGAAAATTCTGCCCGGCTGGGATTAAAGCTCAGCGTTCCTTTGTAAGTGAGGCTTTTGGGGCATGTTTTACCAGGAGGAAGGATTTGTTTTCCATGGATCTACCCTTTCCCAAGCTCACTGCTCACCCCCCAGCCACAGCCTGAGCCGCTGGTGGCTGGTGGAGAGCAACAACCATCAAAACTGAGCCCAAGCAAGGCACAAACACAGGGATTTAGAGTTATTCCTGCCCTGAGAGTCTGGAGCAGCATTCTGACTTTTTTCTGGATCTCCCCTTCGCTGTGATGTGAGGTTGGGGCAGGCAGGATCTGTGCCCCCAGCCCTCCTCTGCCTCTCCATCCCTGCAGCAGCCCCCAGCTGCTCCTGGCACCGCTCACCTCCACCAAGGACAAGGAGCAGTAAATCCCAGCAGCCTCTTAAAAAACATTCTAATTAAAAAAACGACATAACAGGAGCTTTAAAGGACATGAAAGACAACAGCTGTGGAGCTGCTCTCTGCCCCCCCTCCCCTGCCTCCCCCTCCTCTCTGCAATGCTTTTCAGAGTGATTTTCATGTAAAGCTTCTTGGGTTTCCTGGTTTCTGGCCTCCATCTGTGGTTTTGAGTGCAGGCCAGGCAGGAGGGAGGGCACAGGCAGCCCCTGGGCTGGCAGGAGCTGGGCACACGAGGGGACAGCCAGCCTCGCCTGCCCAGAGCAGGCTGGAGCTGCACAGCCCACACTGAGGAGGGGACTGGGAGTGTCAGGGAGAAACAGGAGGATCTAAAAGCCCACTGCAGTCAGATTTGGCTTAGGTGGGCTTGGGGCTCCAGCCCAGCCCAGAGCAAGACCAGAGCTGGTGGAGGAGATTGTCTTGGGGTCCAGCTGGAGATGTGACACATGGCCTGCAGGGTTGGGTGTCCTTTGGAGATGGCCAGCCATCAAAACTGAGACCAGAATGGTCCCAGCTCAGCAGGTCCACCCAACCTGGGCCCAGCTGCTGATGTACCTGAGCCTGGGTTTGCTGTTGGCTGGATGGGAGTCCCACCTGGCAGTGCTGGCACAACGCAGAGCCTGCCTGGATCTGCTGCCCTGGCACAGTGGCCACTGTGGCTGCCCCATCTAGGCTGAACTGCTGGGGCCTGAAATCTGCTACCACTGACCTTTTTACCTTGTTTAGATGGAATATTGGGAAGGAATAGCTCCCTGTGAGGGTGCTGAGGCCCTGGCACAGGGTGCCCCAAGAAGCTGTGGCTGCCTCTGGATCCCTAGAAATGTCCAAGGCCAGTCTGGACAGGGCTTGGAGCAGCCTGGGATAGTGGAAGGTGTCCCTGTGGGTGGGACTGGATGGGCTTTAAGGTCCCTTCCCACCCAAACCATTTCATGATTCCATGATTTTACTTAAAATCTATTTCCTGGGACCAACACTGAGAGCTTTAATCCAGAGTTGGGGATCTCCAGCTACCTTCTCTTCCCAGGGTATTAACACATCTGGAAGATAACCCCAAGACCACAGAGCTAAACTGGTCCAACTGTTCTAGAGGGGTTTCCCAACTCTGTTGCTAACACTAAGACATGATTTAGGTAAAACACAATGTGGCATTAGTGATTACAGGGAATAATTTGGGTTTTTTTTAGGAAATCTGATGAGAAAGAGGAGCCCCTGCACCATGTTGAGGAGAAAAAGATGTTGTCACATCCTTTCTTGGATGTGTTCACCCCCTCCCACCCCACATGTCCAACATCTCAGGCCTAAAATCATCAATCAAACCAACAGAGTGAAGGCAGGAGCAGGGCCAAAGTCTTCCCACTGGGATTCTCCATGCTTTGCATTTTGCAAATGTAAAGCCCTTGACGGTTCAGGGCTTCCAATTAGAGCTGGGCAAATGAAAATCTTCTCAGCTCGCTGCCCAATCCTCCACCAAAAATTCAAATAAGGAATGGTTTGGATCAGTGCAAAGTACAGTCCCTTTCATTTTTTTTCTCCTCCCAAAATAAACCCTTCTCCTTCCCACCCTGATTAATTTTAGATCCCATGAAATGTTTTATTCAATTGCAGAATGAAATGTCATTTCAGAACATTAGCTGGAATAATATTCCTTTTTAAAAAGTGCCAGAGCAAAGAGGTTCAACTTTTAAGACCTTTCTTTTCCTCCCTGTGAATTTGTAGGAACAAATTTGTTTTCTGCTGACAAAAATTTGAGATTTTTGAATTTTTTTGGTGAGCACCCAGTGGGATTTTAAGCCCCTGGAGAAGGGATATGACCAAACCCCAGTGGAGCTGATTTTGCTGGAAGCACAGGTCGGCCAAAATAATTTTCATTCCCAAGAGCTGTCTCCTACTTTCTCCAACTCTGCTGACTGCTCTTTAATCAACCATCTAAAACCCAACTCCGAGACTTCCCATCAGTTTCCAAATCTCTCAGACTTTGTGAAAAAATCAAATAGATCAGGAAAAGGAGCACAGGGGAGGCCACTGACTGGGATGAGCCTGACTGGAGGGGTGCGATGGGATGTTCCTGGCATGGGGGGAAGAGGGAGGTTTGGGGAATGGGCAATAAATTGGTTTTCATGTATTCTGGGGCCACGCTGCCGTTTCCAGCGCAGCTCCGATGAGCATCGCAGGCGGATCTGGAGGCAGGGTTCTGAGGGGATTAGAAAAGATTTATTTTCCTTTATTTATTTTCCTTTTTTCTGGAGTGAGATGAAAGCGGGGAGAGGGAGGGAGAGGCAAGCAAGGAGTGCTATGGAAAGGAACTCATTATTTTTTATCTTTTCCAATGACCTTGTTTATTTTAGTCCTGCTTGAAAGCAGCTTCTTTCCTTGAGAAAATTTGGAGGTATCTGGAGACTGGGGCTGGTGAGAAAGGGAAAAAAAGGAAAAGTGAGCTGGGTGAACTGAAGAAATATGGAAAATTAACAGCATAAATGTAAACTGAGCTGGAGAAATACCCATGTGGGCTTGGTGCTGTGATGAAATTCCACATCTAGGGGAAATGTTCCCACTGTCCAACCTGGCCTCAGACACTTCCAGGGATGGAGCAGCCACAGCTTCTCAGGGAAACCTGTGCCAGGGCCTCCCCACCCTCACAGGGAAGGATTTCTTCCATATATTTAACTTAAATTTCCCCTGTTTCTATTTGAACACATTGCTTCTTGTCCTGTCCCTACAGATGCTGATAAAGAGTCCCTCTCTGTCCTCCCTGTAGCCAGCTCAGGTCCTGCAAGATGCTGGGAGGTCTCCATTTCTCCAGGCTGGCCAGAGCTTGTAGGGAACAGAGGCATCATCAGTGTGACTCCCCTGGTCCTTGCCCAAGCTGCATCTCCTGAAGGAATTCCCTCAGACCCATTGTGAGAGGGATTTAATTTGCTTTTCCCCTCTTTATTTCAGTTGGCTTTGATTCCAGCTGGGAGACAGCAGAAGCTCACAGACATGGACAAATCCTTCTTCAGCCTCCTGGACACTGGACATTCCAATTCCTCCCTGACACTGGACATTCCCATTGCTCAGGGTTTGAAATGCAGCACCCCGTTCATTTAACCCTGCTGAGTTGTTTTGGGTTTTTTCTTTCTATTTTTTCTTTTTCCTTAAGCACCCTGTTCTGTTCTCCCACTATTCTCTGCACTGGGATCATCCACTGGAAGGAGATGGCTGCAGCCCGGAGGGAATACCAGGAGGACTTGTGAGGTTCCAAACCCAAGGACCAGCCCTGCCCCAGCTGGTACTGCCTTTGAGGGGTGAGCAAAGCTCCCTAAATCCTCAGGAGATGCCCCCTAATATCCATGACCCTGATATCCCCTCATGGTCCCCACAGCCTCCAAAGCAATAACGTGTCCAGCTGATCCTGGAGCTGCATCCACACTCTTCCTCTGCATTACACCAGGGCCATTCAACCTCCAGCTCCTGGTGCTGAAAAAATCCATCCTGAAAAACTCCCAAAGTGCAAGGTCAGCTTGGCGAAAAGCCCCTGGACCAATTTTAGATAAAACCAAACTCTGCTTTAAACCCTCGGCCCGGGTTGGCCTGCACTGGTTACTCAGAAATACTCCTGAAAATTCTCCAAGTGCTCAATTTGCATAGCTGTAAAGGATCATAAATAATTCGAGGTGCTGGGATTTAATTAGTTGACCTATACCAGGGAGGAATTTCGGCCTCATTTATGGAAATCAGAGTCCCTCTGGACGGAGCCCAGGGCATGAGGTGGCCGTGGAGCTCCTGTGGGAGCAGGAAGGGATGGGGCCCGACCCAAACCTCACCTGCAGCTCCTCATCAATCCCAGCACTAATCAGGGATAATTCAACTTAAATACAACCATTGGGAGCCGCTTTTTCTCCGTGGGAAGTCCCAGAGGAGCCCATTTAGCAGCGGGGTGGTGTTCCCCAGGAAAGCTGTGGTCTGCGGTCCTTGGAATGTGCTGAAGGCTGTGCTCTGCAAATTTTAGGACCCTGTTACCTCCAAATACTGAGCTTGCAAAGAGGATTCTGGCTCTTTATCCAGTGCAAAAGCCAGCCAGGCATGCCTGGGAAGCTCCAGCTGAACTCCAGAGGCTTTAGGATGGCTTTGATAAGTGTTGTGTTCAGTGGGAAGGCTCCTTCTCCAGATTTAACCCTCAGACTTCAAAAGCAGTAAGAAAAAAAATCCCATTTTTTTTGTATTTTAACCCACTGCTCTGAGCTGCATCTGAAGCTGACTGAAGAGAAAAGAAGTGAGTAAAGGTTGGACTGTGGGGAGCAAAGGCAGGCAAGATTAAAATGAGATGAAAAGGTCTTTGTAGTAACTGTGCTTCCACAGGAGACTTCCCAGCTGCCGGCCGGGCTCTCGTGTGATCCCACGGATCCTCTGGGCTGCTCTGCTGATGGGGGCGTGTGGATAATCCCAGCCCCTGCCCCAAACCACGGCAGCACAGAGAGGCTTTTAAACAAATTTAGCCCTCACACAGGAGAAAACACCTTTTTATTTCTAGGGGGAAGCAATGCCAAAGGGCTCTGGGTGGATCCAGCCATCACTTCAGGTGTTTTACCCTTGCTGAGGCAGGCAGGGCTGTGCCCAGGGCTATGCCTGGCACTCCAGCGGGATCCCAGCACAGTATCCCACATTCCAAGCGGTGTCTGAGGCAGCAGGGCTATTATAAATAATTTATTCTCTGGGCAGAGAAGGGAGGAAGAGAGAGCGAGCTTTTAATTAAAATGATATCTTACAGATCAAATAAATATGAATAAGATGCCAAAAACAACTGTATAAATCCCAAACATTCTCCTGTGTTTTAATTATTTGTGTTGATAAAACAAGAGCAGAGGCATTTGGCTCTGCTCGGAGGCTGCGGAGGCGAAAGGTTACACTGGCATTTTTTATGTTCTGTGCAAGGAACAAATGTTTCCGAAGCCCAGATCTGACAAACTATAATTCATATCAGGAATTAAACTGGAATTTAGAGAACAATTGTTAATATTTCAAAGTAATTGTTTAAGAAATTATCATTTTGGTATCTGCCGCGAAAATAATTACCCACCACTAATTTTTCTTTTTCAAAGGCTGCTATTTGCTGGGATAATGTTGGAAAGATGAGGAGTTTGTGCTGGGAGCTATTTATGTAGTTCAAATGAGAAGATAAATAGGAAGGGACTTTCATGTTCCCAGGCAAATGAGTCTGACTAATGTACAGCTTCGAGCTCAAAAGTGGACCTTGGATTTATCTGGAAATTGGGGGAATTTTCTTTGGATGGGACATGCAAGAAACAGCAGGTGAGAAAATAATCAGAAGCTGTGCATATTAATTAGGAGATGGTCCTCAAATAAACCCTGAGGGCATGGAAAGCCCCTGCCTGCCCCGTGAGAGGTACCAGCATCTCACCTCCTGCCTTGACAGGATTTTGGGGTGGAAAAGGAGCTGCATTCCTACTTCTCCCATTCACAGAGCACTAGAAATGGGCTGATGAACTTGAATATTTAGAGGATCATGGGGAAAAGAGTGGGGTAGAAGGGATTTTAAACACCTGCATCCCACAGCTTGAGGATGGGGTTATCCAGATCCTGTCACATTCTGCTCCTTCCCTCTGTCGTGCTGATGGAAAATACATTTCCTTCCTTTAAACAGAGCTTTCCTCAAGGGATGGAGAGAAAGTGGAGCAGGGGCAGCACCAGAAAAGGTCCAGCAGTTCCAAGGAGTTGCTGTGAACTTCTCTGTTCAGACAACATCTGGCAAAGAGAAGCGATTTCTATGAAAACAGTTTCAAGTGCAAAAAGAGAAATTATTTTCTGGGTTTTGTTAATTTTTTTTTTGCAAAATTATTACTCCATCTTTGGTGGGAATAATTCCCAGCTGCATTTTGAAATATCTCCCTTCCTGCCACATTTTTTTTTAATGGATTACTTTTTCTCCATGCAATGCTGATGTCAATGGTGACTTTTAAAATGCACAGGGAGAAGAAGCGTTTTTTTCCCAAGTCTTCTAGGAAAGGCTTTTTGTCACCTCAACACCCATTTTTTTCCTCTGAATTTTCACCTCTGATACCCTCCTGCTTCTCCAGCCACCCTCTGGGCCTCCAGTAAACCTGCCCAGTTTTGCTGTTGGCCACTGGGATGTTTTGGCTGAGCCAAAGGTTGGTCCCTCCACCCTGAAGGACCCAATAAACCTCTCCAGCCACCTCCTGGGTGGGGGGAGATCCTTGTGGATGTGTCTCCCAGCCCCTCCATGCTACACCTCCCCTTCCCTTTGATCTCCACACTCCCATGAAGACATTGGTTCCTAATGAGGGACACACTTGACCTTTGCAGATGTGGTGCTTAAAGAATCCTGGAGAATGTGGGGGAAGCAAATAATCCCCCTTGGATCCATCCTCCCAGCTTGTTGTGAGCACCTCAGTTCCAAAGCAGATCACAGGGAGATGTTGGTTATCAGCAATTAGCAGCGGGAGCAGTAATTAAGGCGGTTTATGTTTGCTCTGGATGGGGCTGTCACTCTCTGGGATCTTTCAGATCCAGGTTTCCCTAGCACACCCAGAGTTTGGGATCCTGCTGTGCCAAGCTCTGGATTGCCCTATCTGTGCCATGGACTTTAAATGATTGCTGTGGTTTAGGAATGATTGGTGGTGGTTTCAGGCACGGGACAAAACACGGGCAAAATAGTCCTGGTTTGTGCCCTCCCACTGCTGCTGTACCCCACAGAGGGACCTGTGAGTCCCCAGCCGAGGATGGGCAGGAGAAACCAGAGAGGGAAATGTTCTTTTTCCCTGTGAGAAAGGAAGATGATGGATTTGCACCCTCCCAGGTCTCCTGCTCTTGCAAGGCAGTGGGTAAGTCCATGGAAGCTCCTGCTGGAGCAGAGAGGTTGTGGCAGATGCTCCTGTATCCCTGGAAGTGCTCCAAGCCAGGCTGGATGGGGCTTGGAGCAGCCCGGGATAGTGGAAGGTGTCCCTGCCCATAGCAGGGGGTGGGACTGGATGGGCTTTAAGGTTCCTTCCAACACAAACCACTCCATGAGACAGTTTGAAAAATGTGAGAAATGAATGGGCCCTTTTCTCTCCTGACCCTCTCTGGTGTGAGATGCTTTTAGTGGGTGAGTGTCTGAGGGAATAATGTTTGGAGCCCTTCTTTGGGAAGCTCATTGGTACCACTGATCTGTTCATAATAACAGAATAACAGATGTCTCTGACAGGAAGTTTATCCTTAATATTAAGCCAAATTTTTCTATTCTTAGTTTCATAGAATGGGTTGGGTTGGGTGGGACCTTAAAGCCTCACCCCCTGCCATGGACAGGGACACCTTCCACTATCCCAGGTTTCTCCAAGCCCTGTCCAACCTAGCCTTGGACACTGCCAGGTGTGGGGCAGCCACAGCTGCCCTAGGCAACCTGTGCCAGGCCTAACCACCCTTTGAATTCAGATTTTCTTCCCAATATCCCACATAACTCAGGCCCATGCTGCTTCTTCTACATCTGTGGAGAGACATTTAAAAAAAAAAAAATCTCCCTTTCCTGCTTTTATCATCCCTAAATATCAGAACTAACAATCCAAGCTTCCTTTGCTCTTTTCAACCTGCCTCATAAATCATCCTTACACTACTGGGAGCATTTCAGAGCTCTTCCCTGCCTTCCCTGGCCATGGGAATGGGCTGCAAATTTCCATGTGGATCAGATCTGAATTAGTTGCCTTAACCCAGAGGCTAAAGAAGGAGTGATTCCTCTCTCCTGCAATGCATTGATTTCACAAAAGCTAAATGCTGTTGGTTTGGTTTTTTATCCCCTGACACAACACAATAAATTGGATTTAGTGTTTTCCCTCCCATAAGGTTTGTTAAGGGATGGAAGTGGAGAGGGAGAATCCAATCCCTTCCCAGGGAAAGCTTACCCCATCACATATTGGGGTACAGGGAATGGGGTGGTTTCCTCTAAGAGTTGTCTGCCCATCCCACAGATCTTGCCAGCAGGGTTCTGAGGCAGAATTTGGCCCCCCACAGCTGCCACATCCCCAGCCTGTTTCCCCCAGGAGCACAGCCTGTGGTGGGAGTCTTCAGCAGAAGCCAAGGGCTGGGATTTGAAGCACTCCTG